TATAAGAGCAATAAGTTCTCTTAGCTCACTTCTTGTGACTCAGGCAGTTTGTTGAAATGAAATAGCACTGGCATTATGCCAGACATTTCAGGTATGACCTTGATTCTTTTGCCATTTAATAGATATTGGTTTAGAGCAAGCTAATTAACCTCTTTGACCCTCAGTTTCTGTATCTGCAAATGGGGTAATGATACCTACCTTACAGGGTCATTATGAGAATTAGAGATAATATATGTAAATGGCCTAACTCAATAGAGGTGACAATTATTCTATTTTACCTACCTAGCATCCAGGAGTCCCCCAATCATTTTTTAGCCTTTCTCTTTTATATTTTTATTCATCCAGCTTATCTCTTCTTTCTTTTCTGTCTACTTCAAAGTGAATTCAAAGTGAGAATTATTTTAGAGATAATCTAACTTACCACTTTTGTTGAACAAATAAGGAAATAGAAGCTCAGAGAGATAAAATGACTTGTCCAAGATCACAGTTAAAAACAGAGATCATACCCTGTCGCCTTGAATTTGTCACTGTTTTTCTTCTTGCTGTGAAATGAAATTTGATAAGGAGTTCTATCCTAGGTCTGAAGAAGCATGTATAGAAAAAAAAGAAATTTTAGTGCAAGAGACAAGAAAAGGAAAAAAGATTAAAGAAAAAGGAGCAGGAAGAGCTTTCCATTTTTTTTTATAACTTTATTTATTTGTTTTTTAATGTGGTGCTGAGGATCAAACCTATGCCTCACACATGCAAGACAAGTGCTCTACCACTGAGCCACAACCCCAGCCCTACAATTTGTTTTAAAGCAGGGTGCAGCAATCTTTATGAAGGGCCAGGCAGTGAGTATTTTAAGTTTTGCAAGTCATTCTTAATTCTGACATTGTTACATATTGTCTAAGGCTGATTTTGTACTATAAACTGGTGTGGCTATGTCCCAGAAAGCTTTTTTGGACAATGAAATTTTGACTTAATGTAAGTTTCACATCAAAGAATGTATCTTTTTTCTAACTATTTGAAAATGTTAAAACTACTCTTAGGTCATGAGCCATACAAAACAAGATGGAGGGCTGTATTTGGCTTATGAGCTTTAGTTTGATGACCCTATTCTGTAAATGGGGTAATGATACCTACCTTACAGGGTCATTATGAGAATTAGAGATGCTATATGCAAATTCAAATGCATTTGGGAGTATAAGCCTGATGATAAATCAAACAGATACTTATCCTTGCTGTCATGGAAATAATAGGATTTGATTTGAACTTTGATTAAGTGGGACACACCTAACCCACTAAAGTGGGTGGCATCCATTCTAGTTCAGCAGATTGCTATTCCTAAGAAATAGAGGCGAAATGCTGCCAAGCCTTCTGATTTTTCAAAAAGAAGTCAAAACTCTGATGTTTTATGTGAAATATACCAATTTTAAGTGTTGGCAAATAATTTGAAATGATTTTTAGATACTATCAACTATTTTAGATACTGTCAACTATTTGCAAACTGAATTTGATACATGGACTACCAGTCTAAAATATTTTTTCAAGGAAAACAAAGTAAAATTCTAGGTAGTTCATTACTTCTGTCAAATTTTCAATAATGGGTGGAACTACACACAGAAGAGCAATGTGGGAATAGAGGACTTCAGCACCACCATAGACTTATTAGGCATGGCAGACATATACAGAATGCTCACCCCCAAACTGCAGAATATGGATTCTTATCAAGTGCACATGAAACATTCTCCTGGACTTCAGGATACAATAAGAACACTTTTTTTTCCCTCTCAGTACTAGGAATTAAACCCAGAGCCTAGTGCATGGTAGCCAGATGCTATACCACTGAATTACATCCCCAACCCTAAAATCAGTCTTTTTTTTTTTTTTTAGTTTTTGGTGGACACAACATCATTATTTTTATTTTTATGTGGTGCTGAGGATCAAACCCAGTGCCCCGCGCATGCCAGGCAAGCACGTAACAACTTGAGCCACATCCCCAGCCCAAAATCAGTCTTTTAACAAATGTTAAAAGATTCAAATCAGGGCTGGTGTTGTGGCTCAGTGGTAGATCACTCACATAGCATGTGCGAGGCCCTGGTTCGATCTTCAGCACCACATAAAAATAAAAAATAAACAAAATAAAGGTATTGTGTCCAAATACAACTAAAAAAAATATTTAAAAAATTCAAATCAGAAGTTTTCTGATCACAGTGGGATAAAACCAGAAGTCAATATTGGAAAACTGGAGATTCTACAAATATCTGAAAATTAAGCAACCAGCCAACAATGTGTCAAAGAAGAAATCACAAAGGAAATTAGAAAATATCTTGATACAAATGAAAGTGAAAACAAACATATCTGAATGTATGGGTTGTAGTAAAAGTAGTGATAAGAGAGAATTTAAGAATGTAAGTGTTTACATTAAAAAGAAAAATCTCAAGAACCCAACTTTATACAATAGGAAAATGGAAAATAACAACAAAACAACAACCAAATTAAACTCAAAGCTAACAAAGAAAGAATAAAGATCAAAACAGAGGTATATTATATAGAAAAAACATCAGTGAAACTTGAGTTGGTTTTTCAAAAATATCAACAATAATGACAAACAATTAGATTAAGAAAAAAAACAGCAGACACCATTGAAATCAGAAATGAAAATGCATATCTTATAACCAATACTAAATACATAAAAGGATTGTAAGATTGTATCAAACAACTGCATGCCAAAAACAATTTTAAACTTAGATAAATGTACTAAGTTCTATAAATATACAACCCACCAAGACTGGATCTTGAAGACATAGATACAAGCAGACCTATAACCAGTAAGAGGATTGAATCAGCAACCAAAACTTTCCAGCAACAACAAAGCCCTGGACCCAGATGGCTTCATGGAAAACTGTACCAAAAATTTACAGAAATAAAACCAGTCCTCAAACATTTCTAAAAACTTGAGGCAAGAACTTCCTGAACTCCTTATATAAGGTAAGCATTACCCTAACACCAACATCAGACAAATCTACAGACCAATACCTCTGATGAATATTGATGCAAAAAGCCTTAATGAAATACTGCCAAACTCAATTCAGCAATACAGTAAAAAGATTATACACTATGATCACATAGGATTTATTCCTGTAAATCAAGGGTGGCTTAACATATGAAAATCATTTAGTATAATATACCAAATTAACAGAAAGGAGGACAAAAACTGCACCATCATCTCAATTCATACACACAAAGGCATTTGACAAAATGAAGAATATTATTGTCATTTTGAAGGGGACCGCCACCGAAATGGTAATATTGCCACTTTTACAATATTAATTCTGCTGATTCATGAATATTGAAGGTTTTTCCGTCCTCTTCAATTACCATCTTCAATGTTTTATAATTTTCATTGTAGAGGTCTTTAACATCCTTGGTTAAGTTTATTCCTAGTTATTTTATTTTTTCTGAAGGTGTTGTGAATGGAGTTTTCCTAATTTCTTCCTCAGTTCATTATTGGTGTTTGGAAAAGTTATTGATTTTTTTTATTAGTTGTGTATCTTGCTACATTGCTGACTTTGTTTATCAGATCTAAAAGTCTTCTAGTAGAGTCTTGAGAGTCTTAAGTACAGGATCATGTCATCTGCAAATAGGGATTGTTTGACTTCTTCCTTTGTTATTTGTATCCCTTTTATTTCTCTTATCTAATTGTTATGGCTAAAATTGAATCGGAGTGGTATGAGTGAACATCCTTTTATCATTCCTGATCTTAGAGGAAACAATTTCAGTTTTTCCTCATTCAGCATGATGTTGGCTATGTTCTTCTGTATACAGCCTTTATTATGTTGAGTAAAATCCTCCCATAAAAACCCTCCCATACCTAGTTTCTTCAGGGCTTTTATCATGGAGGTGTGTTGAGTTTTGTCAAAGGTTTTTTTTCTGTATATATTGAAATAATCATGATTTTTATCCTTGATTCTACTTCTGGGTGTATTATGTTTATTTATTTCCTTATGTTGAGCCATTCTTTCATCTGTGGAATGAAACCAATTTGATCATGGTGTATAATCTTTTTAATATGTTGTTGAATTCGGTTTAATAAGTATTTTATAGAAGACTTTTGCATCAGTGTTCATCAAGGATATTAGTCTATAACTTTCTTTTTTTATTGTGCTCTTGTCTGGTATTGATATCAGTGTTATACTGGTTTTGTAGAATGCATTTGGAAGCATTCTTTTCTGCTTCATGGAATAGTTTGAGAAGCATGACTGATAGTTATTAAGGTCTGGTAAAATTTGGCAGTGAATCCTTTCAGTCTTTGGCTTTTCTTTTTTGAGACTTTTCATTACTGCTTCAATCTCATGCATGTCAAACAATTTTTTTAAATATCCCCCCTCAAAATTGGAAAATTTTCTCTATACATTTTTATACATCTTTATGATGTTGGAATATACATCTTTTTATGTACTTTAAAATGCTAATTAAGGGGTAGATGTAAGTATAACTCAGTGGTAGAGTGCTTTCCTAACATGTGTAAGGCCTTGTGTTCCATTCCCAGTACTGCAAAAGATAAATAATGCTAACTGGAAGTAAATATTGGAAAAGTTATTTTCCTTTCCTTTTCAAATTGTATGCTCTGTAAAAGAGTAAAATAATTCATTTGTTATAATATTTCAAGAAAGTAAAATAGTCAGCAATTGGCTAATAAAACAAAAAAGAATATTTGATTAATAAAGTTCACACAAAAACACTATGAAATAAGCAGTACAAATCAATTTTTAAAAATCCGAACTTGGAAGCATCCATCATTCTGTTATCAAACTCTTTTGGCTAAAGACAATGTAAAAATAACAGAAGTCACAAAGGGACTTGGGCTACAAGATTTTCATTGTGTGCCATACAGTAAAAAAACTAAAGAAAAAGTTTCAGTGAGATATGTTACAGTTTTTCTGTAATCTTACTTATGATGGTATTAAGCAGAAATTATATTGTATTTTACTTATACATTAATTATTTTTTAACAGAACTCCTGGGGCCCTTGGACAGAGGGGATATGCTAAATGAAGCTTTTGTTGGCCTATCTTTAGCATCTCAAGGGGAAGACTCATTTCAAGATAATCGTCCTTCCTTTGGTTCAATCCACAGGCATAGTATTCAACAAAAAATACTGAAAAGCTCTTCTAACAGGTAAGATATGTTAAGCTGAATAGTTACTCCTTAAAGGGAAGTATTTAGTGTTCAGTACTTTGACTATTTCCTGCTTAGTGCAAACTAAGAGTTAAGCAAGAATATTTCAAAATGTCAAGGAAAAATATACATTTTTCTCATAGCTAATACTTCACGTTAATTCATGCAAGAGCAGTATAATGAAGGCAGAAGTGAATGTAAAAAAATATAATGGATATTATTGTAAGCCAAAATGAATTTATTATAATATATCTTATTTGTATTCTGTTGGTAAATTATGGGATTAAATCACCTTAAATGAATATTAACTTTAGAATATATATTTGAAGTATAATTTATATCACCTATAATTATCTATAATATATTATCTATGGGGCTGGGATTACAGCTCAGTGGTAGAGTGCTTGCCTCACACATGCGAGGCACTGGGTTTGATCCTCGGCACCACATTAAAATAAATAAAGATATTGTGTTCATCTACAACAAAAAAATAAATTTAAAAAATATGATCTATAATTATGATCTAATTTCCACTTCTTTAATACAATCTATTTTCTGAAATCTAATAGATGAAAATTTAAATATCTAGCTTGTCACAAGGGTTACTGAGAAGAAATAAACATGAGATTAAAAACACTTGTTATTTATTTACAATAATATCTTAAGTGTTATTTATGGTAATAGTAGTGGTATTATTTACAATGATAATAAGAACTTCAAGCAAAGGTAGGCAATTTTTTGTGTGTGAAATGGCAAATAGTAAATGCTTTAGGCTCTTCAGGCATGTAGATTTTTTAGAAACTACTCAACCCTGCTATTGTAGTATAAAAGCAGCCATAGACAACATATAAATGAATGAAAATTACTGTGTTACAATAAAACTTAATTTACAAAAAACAGACAACAGGCCAGATTTGGCCCCGGTCTATAGTATATAGATGATCCTAACTATATGTAATAATTGTAAAAAGGCAATATTTTAAATTCATGTATATTGATTATATACATGCCTTTACAATACCCTTCAAAAATGTCCCAAACTACATATAATAACAGTAAATAAAAAGGGGCAGAATTTCCAAGTATGACAGATTTTATTTAGATGTTAGTAAATCCTCTCCCTAACAATTATAAAACTGGTCAAAACCCCCATTTCAGGGCTCTGGAAATCACATGAAAATGAACAATAAATTAAGAATCATTTTTTTTCATAAAAAAATTGCTGAACTTCTGATAACAAAGTATGAGTTTGTGATGTTCTTGCTAGAGACTACTCCCATCCTCCTCCCTATGCTTAAACTAGTTCTACCTGGGTAGGACTGCCTATGAAAACCAACAGTTTGACTTGCTTTGGAGCTCAGTGTGGAAAAACCTTTGCCCAGCAGCACTATTAATAAAAATAACAAACTCATTGTCAGTAAAAGTGACAGACTTGAAAGAAATGAACAAGGGAAAGCCATTGTTCTGCTCTCCTAGTTAGATCAAGTGACCAAATGACAAACTAGCCAAAAATTTAACAGGTTGATCCTGAAAATAATAGAACCAAAGAGAGACTAATTAAGTTCTCCACAAATTCCTGATGAGGTTGTATTACCTATCATTTTGGTCTTTCTTATTCCTAACAGAACTCTTCTTAAGTTTTTTTCTTTATACTTCTTTCCCCCTTCAAACCCAATTTCCAAAAGATGCCCCTCCTCTTTTGCCTTATATTATCCATCCCCCACACCCAGAATAAATCAATAAGAACTTGATTACAGAGAAAATAGGGTTCAAGTCCCAAAACATAAAAAGAAGCAAAGAAAATCCTTTTTTAAATACAGATTTTACAATGCAGATTTGGTGGATATTTATGCACCAAATATCATAGAAACCATCTCTGTGAAGGAAAATCTACAAAAGATGAAAAGATTTATAGATAGACATTAGTAACAGAAGACTTTAATTTCAAAATAGATCAAGTAGGCAAAAAATAAGGAGAAAATTTAGTTGAACAATCAATAACATAGGTATTACGGATTTTATCAAATTCTATACCCAGAATACAATGTCTTCCTAAATGGAATATGACAAAATATATCTTAGGTGCCAAAAGATATCATTAAGTTTCATTAAGTGTGATCAATGGGCCAGGCACAGTAACACATACCTGTAAACTCAGTAATTTAGGAAACTGAGGCAGAGGATTTCAAGTTTGAGGTCAGCCTCAGCCACTTAGCAAGACCCTGAATGAAGTCCTGTCTCAAAATTAAAATGAAAAGAATGGGATGTAGCTCAGTGTCAGAGCACCCCTGGGTTCAATATCCAGTACCACCACCACCCCCCCCCCAAAAAAAAAAGATTGATGGTTTCTAACCACAGTGTACTTTCAGTATTTGGGGGGATAAGGGAGCACTTGGGATGGAACCCTGGGGTGCTTTATCACTGAGCTACATTTCTAACACTTTTTATTTCTTATTTTGAGACAAGATCTTGCTGAAATTCTTCTGTCTCAGCCTCCTGAATCACTGGGATTACACGTGTACAACACTGTGCCTGGCTGACACTAGGAATTTTAAATAAGAATCAAAATGCCCTTTCTTCTAGAATTTTTTTAAATTTCTGTGAAACAACTCAGATAAAATAGAAAACAACATGATATTTCTAAAAATAATATTTAAAATAATGATTGATCAGAGGAAAACTGACAGTGCTAAACATTTTTTTAAGAAGCCAACACCACTTCCATTGGAATTTTATTTTTTTAAATTAGAGCTTTATAGTTATACATAGTAGTTGGGTTCATCTTTACAAACTCATATATACATAAAAATCAATAGTGCTGAATATTTTATCAGAAAATAAATGAAATAATAAATGAACTACAACTCAAAAACCAACCTCTTAAAAATCATGAAACCAGGGGCTGGGGTTCAGTGGTAGAGTACTCACCTAGCACGTGTGAGGCCCTGGGTTCGATCCTCAGCACCACATAAAAATAAATTAATTTAAAAAATAGGTATTAAAAAACCCTATATTTATGCCTTTAATTTCTTTCATCTGTCTAATCGCTCTGGCTAGTGTTTCAAGAACTATGTTGAATAGAAGTGGTGAGAGAGGGCATCCCTGTCTTGTTCCAGATTTTAGAGGGAATGCCTTCAGTTTTTCTCCATTTAGAATGATGCTGGCCTGAGGCTTAGTGTAGATAGCTTTTAAAATGTTGAGGTAAGTTCATGTTATCTCTAGTTTTTCTAGTGTTTTAAACATAAAGGGATGCTGAATTTTGTTGAATGCTTTTTCTGCGTCTGTCGAGATGATCATATGATTCTTATGTTTAAGTCTGTTGATGTGGTGAATTACATTTATTGATTTCCATATGTTGAACCAACCTTGCATCCTGGGGATGAAACCCACTTGATCATGGTGTACGATCTTTTTGATATGTTTTTGTATCCAATTTGCCAAAATTTTATTAAGGATTTTTGCATCTATATTCATTAGATATATTGGTCTGAAATTTTCTTTCTTTGAAGTGTCTTTGTCTGGTTTGGAATCAGGGTGATATTGGCCTTGTAGAATGAATTTGGAAGTACTCCCTCTTTTTCTATTTCCTGAAATAGTTTGAAGAGTATTGGAGAGAACTTAAACTAGCACTATTTGCTGATGATATGATCCTATACCTAGCAGATCCAAAAAGTTCTACCAAGAAACTTCGAGAACTAGTAAATGAATTCAGCAAAGTGGAAGGAATAAAATCAACACCCATAAATCAAAGGCATTCCTGTATATCAGTGACAAATCCTCTGAAATGGAAATGAGGAAAACTACCCCATTCACAATATCCTCAAAAAAAATAAAATAAAATACTTGGGAATCAACAAAAGAGGTGAAAGATCTATACAATGAAAATTATAGAACCCTAAAGACAGAAATAGAAGAAGACCTTAGAAGATGGAAAGATATACCTTGCTCAAAGATAGGCAGAATTAATATTATTAAAATGGCCATATTACCTAAAGCACTTTACAGAATCAACGCGATTCCAATCAAAATCCCAACGGCATTCCTCACAGAAACAGAAAAAGCAATTATGAAATTCAGCTGGAAAAATAAGAGACCCAGAATAGCTAAAGCAATTCTAAGCAGGAAGAGTGAAACAGGTGGTATAGCTATACCAGATCTTAAACTATACTACAGAGCAATAGTAACAAATCAGCATGGTACTGGCACCAAAACAGGCTGGTAGACCAATGGTACAGAATAGAGGACACAGAGACCAACCCACAAAATTACAACTACCTTATATTAGACAAAGGTGCTAAATGTATGCAGTGGAGAAAGATAGCATCTTCAACAAATGGTGCTGGGAGAACTGGAAATCCATATGCAACAAAATGAAATTGAATTCCTATTTCTCACCATACACAAAAGTTAACTCAAAATGGATCAAGGATCTAGGAATCAATCTGCATCTAATAGAAGAAAAAGGCCCTAATCTCCATCACGTGGGGTTAGGCCCCAAGTTCCTTAATAAGACGCCTATAGCACAAGAATTAAAACCAAGAATCAACAAATGGGACGAATTCAAACTAAAAAGTTTTTTTCTCAGCAAGATAAATAATATGAAAAGTGAATAGGGAGCCTACAACCTGGGAACAAATTTTTACCCTTCACACATCAGATAGAGCTCCAATCTCTAGGATATATAAAGAACTCAAAAAAAAAAAAAAAAAATAACCCAATCAACAAATGGGCCAAGGACCTGAACAGACACTTCTCAGAAGAGGATATACAATTAATCAACAAATACACAAAAAAATGCTCACCATCGCTAGCAATCAGCGAAATGCAAATTAAAACTACTCTAAGATACCATCTCACTCCACTAAGAATAGCAGCCATTATGAAGTCAAACAACAACAAGTGCTGGCGAGGATGCAGGGAAAAAGGTACACTCATACATTACTGGTGGGACTGCAAACTAGTGCAGCCAATTTGGAAAGTAGTGTGGAGATTCCTTGGAAAACT